CTTTTTACAGCTTGCCAATGTTCTTGGCCAAAAGAATCAAGGAACTGACTGGCATAATTGACGGCATACTCGATATCTACGCGACATACCCTCGCGGCAAACAGAAGGGAGCATATTGCTTCTCGGTACGGCATGCGTTTAAACTGTTCATCGGTGAGTTTACTCACGTCATGTTTTTGCAAATATAGATCCGGTTCCTCAGGTACACTTGACGGATTTGCATCACTCAATCAAAATCTCGCTACAATTTTGTCAATATAACACGATTGACTTATTTTTAGAGTTTTCTTAACCCGATCGCGCTCAATTTGCATGCCAATAAATTCATTTGAAAAATCAACCGTAATTTTAAAATTACTTTCCAGGTAACGCAGTACATCATCAATCGCAGATTGACTCTCACAAATTACTAGACCGTCATCTACATAAAGGGCTAAATAAACTTTAAAGTCTTTCACTGTACCTGTGAACACGCACTTATCACTTTCGATGTTCTTGAAAGCGAAATTCGTCAAGAAGCCGACAAATTTGTCATTCCAGTAGCGGGGGGACTGCTTTAAACCGTACAGACTGTTGTTGAGCTTGCAGACCCATTCTTCATTGTTCTTGTTGGTGTATCCCTCTGGTAGCTTCAGGTAAATTTCTTCTTGAAGATCTCCATGTAAAAACGCTGTTTTTACGTCGAATTTTGCAATCTCCAGATCTTGCCTTGCTGCCATCGCCAGGAGGACTCTAATTGACTCGTACCGAACAACCGGAGCAAATGTCTCGAAATAATCGATGGCCCCTCGCTGAGAGAATCCTTTTGCCACAAGTCGCGCTTTATATCTGTCGCTGTTATCTATCGAATTTTTCTTAACAGCAAACCCCCATTTACAGCCGATTACACGTTTGCCTCTGGGTAGCGGGACAACGCTCCAAGTGTCATTTTCTTGCAAGGCGTCCATTTCTTCTTGCACCGCTTTCCTTCGGCGTCTCTGCTTGACATGGCTTCTCGGTAAGTCATTGGCACAGCGTGTGCTAGATGTGCAACTGGACTTCCGTATCTGTTAAACAGATTAAGTTGCTCTCTGTTGCGCAGTTGCATTCTTTATTGATTATCGATGCGCTCATTTTCTTGTTGTTCATCGCCGTTTTGCCCATTATCTCCCACTTCAACAACAATCAATCATGTTGATGATTATCTTCATTGTCATTCTTTTCTTCCATCCCGAAGTCAAACAAAACTCGATAAGCTGCGTCTTTCTTGTCCAGATTCTTTAGGCTATTTTCATTGAAATCTACATCGCCACTGATGTAAATTTGGCGCGTTTTTGTGTCCCAAAGTATATACTTCGACGATTCTCCATCATAGCCTACGACGAGAACCTTTTTGCTTATATTATCAAATAGTTTTCGTTTTTCCTTCGGCTGATTAAGGTACGCGTCTGTACCGAACACGCGTAAGTGCTTGACTTCTGGTTTCCGATCGAACCATTTTTCAAAGGGCGTCTTTGTTTGATGTTGCATTGCTACACGATTCAACAGATAGCTGGCTGTGTTGATAGCTTCAGGCCAGAGTTCCAAGTTTACATTGCTGCCGATCAGCATACACCTGGCGCTCTCAACAAGAGTGCACATTTCGCGTTCGGCTCGGCCATTTTGCTCATGAATATATGGTGATGAAAACTCGTGTATTATACCTTTTTCTTTTGTGTWATTTTGAAATTGTTCGCAGGTATACTCACGGCCATTGTCTGATCGTAGCACTTTTATTTGATTTCCAGTTTGTTTGAATGAAAAACTTTCAAACTCTAAAAAACGTTCAAACACTTCCGAATTGTTTCTCAGAAAATACACTTTTCTGAAGCTGGTACACTCATCCTTAAAGACTAAATAGTATCTTGAGCCTCGCGGAGACTCAGTGTTCACGGGGCCATACACGTTAGTATGAATTTTCTCGCCCGGTTTAAGGTTGATGTTGTTTTCTGACAACGTGTGCGGCTCGCGGGTTTGCTTACCCATTACACATGTTTCGTAAAGAAAATCACTTTGTGTCTCAGGTTCAAAATTTTTATTGTTAAGCACTTTGCTGGTGTTCATCACTGCGCGCACATTTATGTGTCCAAGTCTTTGATGCCAGAGTTTTAGGGCATTCTTATCTTTTGACTCAGCCAGATTGCACTTCACGGAAATTTCAACTTTGAACAGCATCTTGAATAGCATTCCGTACCTATCGCCGCGTGCTACCACTTCACCGCTTTTGTCAGCCTCAATTTGAAGAGCTAAGGACGCTGTGGTACTTTCGGCCTCACACAGGCGCTTATCTTCTCGTATGAGCCTTACGAGGAGAACATCGTTCGTCTTTTCGCTTTTGGGGGTGCATTCCCATGCCATAAGAAAAGCGGAAAATCTCTGCGGTAGCCCATTGAAAAGTCTTGACACCATATCCTTATCAGACCGCTTCTCACCGGCATCTTCGAGTTTCCTGCAGATTAATTTGAACTGCTCGATCTGTGGTGCTACTGCTTGGCCATCCTTGATACGGAAGTCATAAAACTCTTGAAACGCGCTGTCCACGGTGTCGCTGCTTGATGTCCCATAAAGTTCCTTTAATTTATCCCATATTGTTTTTGGAGTTCTACAATTCATTACATAGCAATGTAATTTCTTCTCCGCAGAACTTAGCAAAATTGTAGCTGTTTGCGAAGATAGAGTTTTCCATTTCGTCCACTCAGCAGCTTTCTTTTCCCTATTGGGCTCTTCGCTGGTACCGTCGATGAAGTCATAAAGATTTTTGCCTTCTAGCAAAAATTACATGCCAAGCTTCCATACCTCGTAGTTTGTTTCGTTGAGCTTTGTTAAATCAAAAATGTCTCTATCAGTCATGATAAGAAAAACTGCTGCGAGCACTCACACAAACTTTACAAAACGGTACTTGCACACGAGACTATCCGACGCGATACTTATACGATGCGAAGCTTGGCCTAAAGTTTTTATTCAAAAAAATACACTGGCGCAGTGGAAGCGTGCTGGGCCCATAACCTGTTAAAGTAAATAGCAGACACTTCCAAATTAATGTATTTATTAAATTAAACCTAAACCAAACTTAACACATAAGCTACTTCTAGCTTGCAGGGATCGGATAAGACTACACCAAAATAACCGAAGATGCCGCCAGAGCAGGTCAGTGGTCCAACCACCATGCCTCCGCCCGCCGGGGTACATCTCTCAGGGTGGTCTAAATACCATACTGGCGCAGTGAAAGGGTGAACAAAATATCTAGAAACTATATTCTAAATAAAATATATTCTAAATTAAACCATATTTCTAAATTACCCTAATAATATAAATATATTATATAGGTTAAGATGTAGGTTAAGGTGGTATATAGGTCAAGATATGGGTTAAGCTTATATAGGTTAAGAGCTGCTATAATCTCACCGATCCCCAAATACGGGGAATGGTGGTTTGGCTGGGAGTGGTGCAACCATGGCCCTATGGCTTCGGCTTGCAGAGAGCTGCAGCTGCAGAGAGGCGTAAGTCCTTTACAGAAAGGGGGACTCACAGGAGCGTATAGAACTGTTGAACCAGTTGCTATGCGCAGTCTCGACTGTTTAAACATTATTAATTAATTTTAAGCCGTGTAAATAGCTAGTATTTTATTTATACTTTAAGACTGGACTAGACGTTATGTGGAATATAGTACCTTGTACAATTAAATTATGAATAAAGTGGACTGAAAAAGTAAAGTTAGTAACCACTCACGATGCACACAAAGTCAGCACTGTATTGAAATGGGAAATGGCGCAAGCACGTGCCGTCACATCTTCCGCTCGCGTCCTTCCCCGCTCGGGGTGTACCAGTGGTGGGAAAAAAGTAATTAATCGGTATTCGAGTACTTGTTACTCATCAGAAGCCGAATTAACGAATACCCAACAAAGCTAACAAACGAGTATTCAAGTAATCAGTAATCATTCTCGGAAAATCAAGTCACCCATGCTAACCTTCGACTCCGAAGCCCAATACTCTACTTCGCGTACTCGCTCAGACTAACTGGTAATCAATACCAATAATCAGTACTAACTAGTAACTGACTTATCTGGTAATCAATACCAGTAATCAGTGCTCGGACCGATACGGATGGCTACCAAAAGCCGCGCTTGATTTTCAACGTCGGTCGTTTCTGATAACTCAAAACAGCGTTGCACGTTGCAGCATTGTAAACTTCGAAAACGATAATTGTAACTTATATCAAAACTGCATATTTCTAAATAGACTTTTATAAAAATTGATAATTATCGCACTGTATTACTACTGTACCAACATTTATTTATCGATGTGTGGCATCTTGCATTCACTAAAGAGGCCAGTGGGTTAGCAGACAGGTCCAAGTCTCTGTGTGTCATGTCTTGGAACTCTAATGGAGTGAAGAACAA